AATAAACATGATAGTTTTGATAAAGTTGGATTGCAAACGCTTCATTTTCTCTCTTTTTTTCAGAAGCCCTAAGAAATCATTGAATTTCGGACCTTGGGGATACAGGAGCGAGGTAGAGTTACGTGAAACTGTTTTACAAAAAAGTAATACAAACCTTTATATACTGTTCGTCATCTCCATATCATTCACTCCACCCGTAATTATCATATATATTTATGTTGATATGATTTTGAAAATATATATTTCAAAATGTAACCTTGAAACCAAACCTAACTTCAAACGATATATTTTTAAATTATTAATTTCCATCTATCAAATTTAAAGAATTATGAAAAATAAATAACTTCTTGTCTTTTAAATACCGGGTAAATACGTTTAAGATCTATTAAAAGATGCCAATGTCTAAAACTAAAATTATTTTGTCATAAAATATTTTGTCATAAAAGTTTTCCATCTGTGTGGATAATTTAATGAATCTTTTTGTTTTCAATAAATTGGTTCGAATTGCATCTCAGAACATGCCAGGTTTGAAAAATATCATTAGTTTTCCTATTTTATTAGTTTTGAGGCTTGTGAGTCAAACCATTTTATAGCGCTGTAAATTATTTTGTTCCATATTTTGTGTAACTAATCGATTATTCAAAGAGAGATAACTCTTATCACTGCAATTTTTTCGATATCACAAAAACTGCTGGGTAAATCGAAGAGGGAAATTACCTTTCAGACAATTACATACTCTATCATACTGTAACTTTTTTACGTTCTGGGTTTAACCTTTTTTATCTTTTAGTGTGTAAGACCAAAATTTACATTTAATCACTTCCAGGATAATGTTTATCTCAAGGTTGCTTTTACAACTTCCGTGATTTCCTTTGCAGACTAGATATCCTAATCATGAACAAATGTTAGGAAGAAATGAAAATGTATTATCCATAAACTAAAAAGGCGAAGAAACAAACTGTGGTTCATCACATTTTGTATATATTGTTTTAAAGTTATGATGTTTATTGGGGGTTCAACTTAAAATGCACGTATGCTATACCATGTGAAAACTACAGGACTTAAATTCTTATTCTAGTGTTATTATATTTTTTAGGAAATTGAAACCAACTTCTAATAAATTTTGAATTTAAAAAGCGGGTTTTGAAAGGCTAATAAACAAACAAATATTGCTGAATTTAGCAAATACTTTACCAAGCCCTTATCTTTAATCTTTACAAAAATATAAATTGCTGTAAAAGAGATAAAAGAGAAAATGAAGAAGTAATGTGCTATCACATTTTCTTAAAGTGGTGTAAATTACATGAAACTTTAATAAAAACTCAAGAAAAAATTTAAGAATCTTTAAAATAATCAAATTCTTCAAAATCTTCTATTTTTCTACTCTTTATATAACAACTACTTGCGATAAATTAAAATCTGAGAACTTAAACTAAAATTAGAGATCATAGGCAATTGCTTTATTAATTTATCAAAAACGGAACTCACTTTAATTTCCACATCTTGTGATCGGTCATCAGCAAAATAACTTCGTTAGAAAACACTCTGATTGTACAGTAAGTACTCTAGATCTGAAATTATCTTTGTCGATACGAGTATCACAGTGAGCTTGAGACAAAAGATACCACAGAGTCTGACACATCTGTTTCATATTTGGATATTTAACTTGAAAAAGACGTTAATGGTAATCTAACAACCAAGCTATATGATAAGCGTGATGACTTTAACTTTTCTATCGTCAACTTCCCTTACTTATGTAGCAATATACCTTTATCACCTGCATACGGGGTTTTTATCTCTCAGTTGAGATCGGGAGGCCCGGGTTCGATTCTCGTTGGCGGCGCCGCGTCAAACCGAAGACGTAATCATAGGTAGTGACTGTTCCTTCGCCAAGCGTTCGGCACTAGAAGTGAAAGTCACGGGTCTTTCGAATATGACCTTAAAAACGTAGGTCCTGTGTCACGGTAGGCGTTGGCACGATAAAGAACCCTCACTGCTCAATGGCCCTGAGTGCCGAGTATAGGTTTAAATTTGAAGCCCTTCACCGGCAAACGGTGACGTCTCCATATGAGTGAAAAATTCTCGAGTGGGACGTTAAACAATATACAATCAATAAATCTCTCAGGTGATTCGATACGCAAGAGTATGCTTTGCTTTACGTATGTACAATTTCTAAAACGAGGTAAAATATTGACTTAAAAGTTGATGGAACAAAATATTAACAGTCTCGTTTTAAGCCATCATTTTGTAAGTTCTATGGTCGATACAATGACCTTGTCAGCAAATACAATTTATCATTTAGTCAAATACTGATTGACGTTTTCATTATTTACACAATGAGTTGCGATAGATATTCCCGATCATAACAAGGAACACATGGCGGGTGTAATCGGTTGACAGGGGATGTTCACTCCTCCATGCCACCTGATCCCACCTCTGATGTTTTGGAGATCCGTGTTTACTCTGATCCTATTTTGTATTGTTTTATGGACTTTTTAGCTTGAATACTTTCGTTATCTCCAAATATTTCATTGATATTAAAGATTGCTGGAGTTCCCCTGACATTTATAACATTTATATAGTCACCGGAGACCAAACACTCTCTTAAAATTGCAATGGACACTAATTGATCTTGTCTTTATATTCCTAAGAAGCAGAATTTATTCAAATGCTTCCAAATGAGAAGAGAATTAAACTTGGTGTGACCTTTACTTCGACATTCATCGGCGATGTTTTATCAATTTACAATAGTAACTTTCATCCATAGGTCTACTCGATATACACTATTTCTTGTGAACTTGAACTGAGAAATGCCACAGAGTCTGCTACCTTTTTATATATTCAGATGTTTTACTGACAATAGACGATGATTGACAATTCACAGCTAAGTTTTATGACAAATGAGAAGACTTCAGCTTTTCCATCGCCAACGTTCCTTATTTATGTAGTTATGTTCCACTATCACCGACTTAAGAAGTTTTTCTCTCTACCCAAGAAACCCAAAAGCTTGTTCTAAGTGCGATCAAACTTTAGAGCGAGCAATATTACATATTGAAACGTTGATGATACAAGGATTTCAACATTCTCCTTTATATTAGCATTTCGGTTTTTTCCCAGTCGTTATAATGACCCTATTTTTTGGCTAACTTAATTCATACAAAATGGTTAGGCTTTTCTTTTGCACTAGAATTGACCACGCAAATTATCCTTGATAAATTTATGGGTATAACGGGTAGACCTGGGATTTTTACTCTTCCTAGGCGCCTCAGGAATTTCAAGGGTCTGTGTTTCATTTCCTTTTATCACTTCTGTATTGCTGATTATTTTTTTGAGATCGATTGCTGTTCGTTATCTTTATTTTTACATCATGATAATTTCCATTAACGATATACTGTTGAAAGACTCCTCATAAGGCTACTATAATTTTTTTTTATTTCCCAGTTAAGTTAAATTACATCTGTATCTGTTTTAAAGATTCTTAAAAACAGACATAACAAATATCAGCTAAGACCTTTGAATTTTTTCAGCAACATTTCTTTTGCATTTTGAAAAGGAAAAGATATTTTATAAATTTATGTATTTCTCCCTATATTTGTTTATCACAAAACAAGTCTGTAGTTTTGTTATTACTAAAGTATTACAAATGCAAAAACCAAAAAACGTAGAAAATTATCTCGTAGATTATTTGACATATATACATCAAAGGTTTTTTCCAAAGTAAATTTCGCAAGTCATGATTTCTTATCTTTTTCTTACGTTAATTGGGTAAAAAAGATGTCAAAATGGGGTTTTCTTTTGTAAATTTTAGTGGTTTTGATTTTGCCTGCTGCCTCAATAAATAATAAAAATTACTGTGTATAAAGTTTCACTTTCCAATGGGTAGAATATTAGAATGGGAAGCATTATCGATTTGGTCTATTATATAAACTTTAAATGGATTGTATGTCTTTCCATTTAAATGTATAGCCTTTAAATTCAAAAAATAAACAAGTAAGTAAGCGATCGTACAATAAGATTAAAATTCGTCAGAAATGGAATAGACTTTATGAGAGGACTTTTAAAATTTGCCCTTTAACAAAGGAACCATTTATGATGAAGAAAGGTAAACGTTCGTAAAATCAGTTTCTATTTAAAGACATCAAATACATATGGGAATAAACTTAATGAAGATAAAAACAACATACTAAAACCCTTTTAAGAGAGAATAATATTTCATATAAAAGAATTCTCAAGAAAAAGTAAATTGCGCATTCAGAAAGTAATCGCTCACGGTAATTTCTTCTCCGATCGCTACATACTTTGAACTTTGTCTACCGGCTGCAGAAGAGTGTCTTCTATAAAATATTCATTGTCCATTAGATAACTGTTATTGACCGCCTCGTGCACGCTATCACCTGTAATCGTCCACAAACAGAAACCCACAGGTAGTGCAATCACACCTGGCTCAGGTGTGAATTGAGGTCCATACCTGTCCAGAAGGAGGTTTTATATTGATTCATTAATATTAAAGTGAGACTCTTCTTTTTGTTATTGAACGGGGGTTTGGTAGTTTGAGCAAACGCGGAAGGGGGACTTAGGATTGCTTGTACTAGGACCTGCTATCAAAAGAAAATGCTCAGAGCAGAATATTTCTTTCTTTGCGGACTGTACTCTATCGCAGTTCAGTGTTTGTATTAGAGATTTGTGTGGATAGAGTGTATATAATCAGTGAGGTCTCCTCAAAGACAGGGTAGTATATGTCAATGGACTTCATGATAGCGTCAAATTATATCTCAATTTCCCGAGTCTTGAAGAATCACCAGTACCCGTGCTATCGGTAAATAGAGGGCGGGACCTTCTAGTTTAGCAACCCTCCCGCATTTTAAGATGGGACGATTCCAGATTATTTCTGGTCTTTGACAGGTTTGTATTATCCATTCAAACGATCATGATTTTTTAATTGAAGTGAATTTAAATTCCAATACCCAACAGCATACAATTATTTGTGGTATATAATTTCCTTTTCATCACACAATACACGGTGTGTTGTACACGGACCAACAGGTAGCTGAGGATTTATCTGTATTTCTCTGTACTGCAATCACGGGTGACATCTCAAGGCCGGCTTTTTGAATGTTTCGGGCACCTGCTGTACACCTAGCTATCTAACCGTACACAGAGAAATATATCTCTACTTCGTTTTTATGGCTTCTTTGACCCGTTTGAGGAATTTATTATTGGCTGACACGGGAGATGTAATACCTTTGGAGCACATTAGTTGATTGTGACGTAGTTGGTGTACGGAAACTATTAAGTGTTTGTTTTACGACAGCTACTATTTACCTAGGTCGTCAGAAGCCAGGTTATTACAAATGAGGCCACAAATGTTTCAATTTTAAATCGATTCAGCCAATCTCCACAAACCGCTTTGGGAGAAATTATTGTACCCGTGAGTGCCATAAAAGAGGAAAGCACGTGTGTTCCTAGGTAAAATAAATGATTGAATACCTGGAATCTGGAACATCTTAGACGTCTAATAGTAAGTATTCCTTGTAGATGTGTGACGTCATTCTATTATAACTCTGATTTTATTGAGTCGATTGTCTCTGTATCAAATATTCCACTATCGCCAATATCAGCGTGATGGAGTATTAAACTGTGAATTAAATTGTCGACATTTCTCCAGTTTCATTATCATATGTACATTGCACATATTCATAATGCCACTGGCCATTTGTTTTATCACAATTGAGATGAGGAAATTTCCAGTTAAGCAAAATGACTTCCGAAGAACACGGTGATATTACGGGATTTACTTGTAGTTTTTTTCCGCCTTTGTCTTAAAGTTGATTGAACATGTCTTGTTGCCTTTTTGAAACATATCTATTAGAAGATAAATATTCTGTATTTCACATACTTGAATATATCTTGTGCCATTGCATACTGAGTGATAAAATCACTTCTTAGACTTCGATGATATATATTGCATGACTGATTGTAAATCTCTCACATGTATCTCGGAGGTCACTTTTGTTTTAGTGAATTGTGTGGATTTTAATCCAATTGAGTACATGTATTGTTTTTCTTTCAGATAAAGGCCATACACAGATGACGGTGAACACACAGAGACTTTCAGACGTTCAGGAAAGACTAGAAAAACTTCTCACAGACAAAAAATGTCTCAACTCAAAAGTCACTTCCGACGCATTTTCAGGATTCAAAGCGGCTGTCAGCAAGGTAGAGTTAATGGCATGCATCCAAGGACGACGTGAGAAATAAGAATGAATAGTTCGTACACATAGTACAGTGAGAAATAGATTCTGGGGAGGATTGTATCAAGTTTTATTTTGGTAGGTAAAAGCTGGACAGACAGCCGATATCGGCTCCTCTTTAAAGAAGCTGGAAATAAGCCTCAAAGGTGAAGGATCCTACAAGAATGTCAAGGTCGGGTTTGAAGCTGCCAAGACCGATATAAATGAGGTTCGTTTTTTATAATACTTTCTATAATTATATTGTACATCAAAAAGTCAGTATAATTAACCTTCAGACGTAAACACCAAATGATTAAAACTAGTCTTTGATCAGGGTTTACATTTCATCAAAAATTTCAATGACTACTGAATAGGTCTAAATAGGTTATAATTTCATAAAAGTCATTCACGTTTAAAAACTTAAGAATCTAAATGAACAGTTCAAAGGGAAAAAATTCTTAAAATGAATCGAAGAGACGTCATTTTACGTGGTATGTTTTTTATTAAAACCCTGACCATGCTGTGTTCTCTGGTGATTCTTAAAGCATTTAAACCTTAAAACGTACATTAAAAAGTGTAATGCTTTTCTAAACAGTTCGATTTAAAAGTAATATAAAAGGAGCTATCCAATTGAAATTCGGTTAGGCAAAATGGGTCTTCTATGAGAGTCTTTCTAGAAAGACGAGCTCTGAACGCTGAATGCATGTAAACACTTGGATTTATTTCTGTTCATCATGAATTCAGACCATATATTACGAATAATAGACCAGTGCTGTTCTCTGCAATAGGAATGTTCAAGTCTGTTAATTTTTATATTTACACCCTCTTTCGTCTAGTTTGTCGAACAATTTTGATATAAATTTATTTCGTATTCAACATATGCACGCACCCACCCACCAAGTTCCTTTATATAAGTTAATGACAAATATTGTTTTAGCACGAATGTAGGGAGTTACGTTAACTGTAGTAACAGAGATAAAGGAGTGAATAGGACACTCTTTGAGGTATATTTGGGTTTGGTGTTTTAATTGTTGATATCTCTTACTTTATTAACAGTATTACACTGCTCTGTTTCGCTACAACTGTATGTAGTTTCTTCGATATCAATACTCTGATAATTCAGTGAAATAAAAGATTGATTGATTGATTGATTGATTGATTGATTGTATGTTGTTTAACGTCCCTCTAGAGGATTTTTCACTCATTTGGAGACGCCACCACTTGCCAGTGAAGAGCTACATATTTTTTCCTATACTCGGCACTAAGGGCCTTTGAGCAGTGAGGGATCTTTTTCGTGCGAACTCCTCCTGCGACACGGGACCTCGGTTTATACGGTCTCATCCGAAGGACCGGTCTCCACGTCCCACTGTGTGATAAAAAGACATCAGAAAACAAACATCTGCCAAATAAAACTTAGCTGCTCAATGATCACGACTATCAAAAACAGGTCTTATTGTAAAGAAATGAAAGCAAATAGACAAAATAACACCCGAATTTCCGCGCATTTTATGCCCTGTCTTTCTTTTCTTATGAAATGTACTAGTATACATTTTATAGTTCACATAAAGTTTCAGTGAAATTAGTTTTTAACTAAGCTTTCCAGTAATTTTTTTTGTTCATTTTATCAAAAATCGGCGGTAAGAACATTAAAATTTCCAATGCATAGCTTTTTGCAAATTTTTAATAAATGAATTCTGTGAAAGATTTAATACTCGATGTTAAATGCAATAGAACAGCGCGTAGACAAAAAAAATGTTTTATTTTAATTCAGCTCCAATTAGATCTAATATTTAGACATAAATCTGTTCAATTGGATCATATTTATCTAGATACCGAACTATGACAATTCAGATGTATAGATTTTTTTTATCTGAACATTTAGCTGTTGTTGAGTTATCACCGTGTTTGTAGAATCGATACATTTAAACATGTTGTTGAGATTTGTCAAGATAATATTAAGATACAAGTTGTCACCTCCTCGAGTTAAAAGTACAAAGTAGCCCAGCTAAAAGCTTTCTCAAGATAAAAGTTATTATCATTTTCTCCGAAATCAAGCATGTTATCTATGCGTTTTCATTTTCATGACAAGAACAACCCAAACTTTAGCTTGTAAATTTAATTTTTTTTTTACAAGAATCAATATCCGAATACTTGATAAAATGTTAATAATATTGGGTAGATTAAGGGTGCAATTCAGTCAAATTTATCAGTTTAACTATAACTACCCTAACAAAAAAATACTATAGTTAACTATAGTACCAGAGTAAAAACCTTTGAAACTTGATTTACTTTAGTGAAAACTTCAGAACTTTGCCTTACTTTTATTGAAAACTTTGGAACTTTGCTTTACTATAGTAAAAACTTAAAAACTTTGATTTAATACTACAAAACCCATGAAAATATGTTTTTCGTTCCCATTCTCATGATTCTGTCCATTATACGATATTTCTAGGTTAGCATTCATAACAGCTCAAAAAAAAACTTTTTAAAAGCCCGACCCGTCCCAAAATGAATTATGTTTAAGAAATGAATTTTAATGCAAACGTTTTCTTTTGCGCCGATAATTAAGCAATATTTATTTTATTCTATTTAATTTTATGCAAATATAACGTTATGGAGAGAAAAAAAATACTTATTCAAAAATAAAATTTGCATCATTTAGTATCAAAATATTTACTTCGATAACTCTAGTCAACATTTTTTTTTTAAATAAAAATATAGCATTTGAACTAATAACTTTGTATATTTCAACAAAGATGTACAACAATACCTAGCTCGAACCAACCAACCCTATATCAAACCTCTTAAAACAGTTAAATAATTATAAAGATTTTATAAAATTAGATAAGTTGGTAAATTAATTTAAAAAATTAAAACTTTAATTAACTAAAGTAAAAACTGGAACTTTGATTTACTATAGTAAAAACTTTGGAACTTTGATTTACTATACTATAGTAAAAACTTTGGAACATTCCTTTACCATAGTAAAAACTTTGGAACTCTGATATACTATAGTGAAAACTTTGAAATTTTGATTTTCTATAGTAAAAACTTTGGAACTTTGATTTACTAAATTGAAAATTGTCTAATTTTGATTTAATATTGTGAAAACTTTGGAACTTTGATTTACTATTGTTTACTATTGAAAACTATAGTTGACTATAGTTTACTCAAGTATTTTTGTTAGGGTAAGAATGGTTCTGAATCTGTAACATAATGTATCAATATAAATTTTATTTATTTAGAAAAATTTTTGACGCCAAAGAACAAATTCCCCGAAATTGGATTCCAGAGAGAATTGGAATTTATTTTCGCATATAGACTCGCGGCCAGTGGGAATATGGCTTATTTTTCTCAATCTATAGATTGACTTTTTATTCTCGATGAGTATGAAATAGACTAGTACAAAATGATTTTCTTTTGAGTGTTGACTGTTTATCTACAGTGAGTGAGGGGGTACTGATCGGCTGTGGTACACTATTCGATATTTAATTTTCTAAGATGGTTTTTGACATTACTTCGGTACTCGTATTTTTGTGTATTGGACACAGTGGGGAGTACCTGTGGTTATGATGTTCTGCGCTGAATATATCGACATTGATCCTCTAAATCTATTGGAATATTTATGATGATTGCAATGAACATTTGATGGGGTTTGTCGATATTTTTACTCCTCTATATCCAGAACTGATTGATTGTTGACCCTCAAGACAATATCAGACTACTCAGTCTCAGAGGGATTATTTATAAAAAGTTCATTCTATTGTTGCGCCTATTAATATGATCAAAAAGGGTTGACGTTATTGTTTCTTGACGATAGACACAGAATGAATAAACAATTTGTCTTAGTATCGTATGCCTATCTTACCTCAGATTCCCTGCACGTGCAGTGCACGCACTCTCTCTCTTCCATTCTCCGGGCCCATGCGTCCAGCTTGGTTTTTAACATTTTCTTTTCCGTTTTAAATCCAAAATTCACGCGTTTTTTGGTTATGTTCATTGTTCATAACAGTACTCCTAATGGAATGAGTTAACAAAATAATTTCAACATTAAAACAATGGGAACTGTCCTTAAGACTGAGTGGGACAGGGGTGATTTTCTGAGTTTGTCGGTTAAATTACATATCTTGTCACATTGAGATATCTAATCCTCGGAATTAGCTTCTACCGCGATGTTAATCGTAAATTAAACAGAAATCATCTCTCATGAAAAAAACACTTAATCCTTTATTGATAGTCAATTTGTAAATTAATAAAATGCGTAAAATATCTAAAAATCTATGAAACATTTAATGCTTCTTAAGCTGTAGGCATTACTTCGGCATCGAATGAACGGATAAATGTCAAGAAAAGGGATAAAAATTCAGGGCCATCACAATCAACATAGGCGTAGTTATAGTCTAGGGTCATGTAAAGGAGATAGCTTCAACAATATCTATTATAGCTTTTATAAATCAAATTTTGATTACATGTATAAACTAGAGGCAAAATTATTTTATGTTGTTTGTAAAAATAAATAACTGTGTTATTATTTGATGCTATGTATAAATAGATGGTGAGCTTGAGATCTAGATAAAAGATACCACAGAGTCTGACAAATCTATATATTTCACATTTTGGATGTTTTCCTTGAAAAAGACGTTAATGGTAATAGGGTAATATAACAACCGAAGCTTTGTGATAAACGTTATGACTTTAACTTTGCAATCGTCAACTTCCCTTACCTATGCACAATATACTTTCATCACCTGCATCAGCTGCATACGGAGTATATATATCTTAGTTGATTCCATACGCAAGAGCATGCTCTACATACAAACAGTTTCTAGAACGAGGTTAATTATTGACAAACAAGTTGCTGAAACAAGAATATCAGCAGTCTCATTTAAAGTCGTCATTTCGTAAGTTCTATAGTCGATACCATGACCTTGTCAGAAAGTACACTTTATCATTGAGCCTAAGGCTGACTGACGTTTTTCATGCCAATTGTTAGTCCATTATTTATACACTGAATTGGCGACCGTTTTTTCCGGGGGTTTTTCCCCCGATCATGACAGAGAGCACACGGCGAGCGTGACCAGTCGGCAGTGGATGCTCACACCTCCATGGAACCTGATCCCACCTTTGATGTTTTGGAGGCCCTTGTTTGCTCTGCTCCTATTATGTATTGTTTTATGGACTTCTGATCTTGAATAGTGTTCGTTATCTCCATATTTTTCATGGCATCCTGTGTTCGCTGCAGAATAATAGTTACAGAAATTTTTAATTATTTTAACGAGAGAATATGAAAAACAAAGCTCCGAATATTCTAAAATATCTTACAGCATAATAATATCAATTTGATTACATAAGGTTTTTGTGTGACAAAAAAGGCATCTAAAAGGCGTCTAATATTCACACAGGACAGAGTCTCTAATGTTTAAAAGTGTTTATTACATTGCATTTTTGGTCCGACCTCTCAGGCTCAGGGAAGCTAGGGCTCATAACTCAGATTTATTTATGACTATTTATTTATAAATTTTTTCTAGGAAAAATTATATAAATATGAGAAGTTTTGATCAACGTTAACTAAGATTATCAAAGTATTTTGAGAATTTAATAGTTAACTTTTTTATGGTTTGAATTCTATTAAAATCTGTTACATGAGATCTATAATTATAGCTGCATTATAAAAACAACACCTAATTAAAGATTTTAGGTGCACATGAATCCCCCTCCAGAGTTAAGCCTTCCCTCAAAGCTACTCAACAGCCAGGAAACTCTAAACAAGCTAACCCTCGTGCCGTCACGGTAACACTCTCCAACAGTCACGCCCGCCAAAAACTGCGTGCCGGGGGACCCGGATACCAAAGGCCGCACATAGAGCCAGACGCTCCCCCCACAATACGGACCCGAAGACCACCTGTGGAGATGTGAGTACAAAGCTGCCTTACAAACTAGATACCTTTCAGAGTCTGAGACAAGCAATTCAAACAATCAGTTTTGTATATTTTTATTTTCCATACAAGCCAGAATAAAAGCAAACAAGTTTCACATCAGTATTAAGTAAAATTTCCAAACCTTTCAGAAAGGGATCCCTGACCAAGAACCCAGGACCTGAGGAAATGTCATCATTAAATAAGACAATCTCTCGATTGTTTAATCATTTGGAAATCAACAAACTCTCAAAGGAGAGTGATATCAAACCATCCACTAAAGTACGTCACCCTCGCCGGTCACCTAGCCCCCATCGACGTCACAAACGCGAGGAATATGACGTCAAAGAACTTCTGCAGAGACTTCAAACATTTGAAGATGAACTTCAGAGGAGGAGGGAAAAACAAAACGAAGATATACTCAGGTAAATTGAGAATAAATTTCTCAAAAAGAAAAAAAAAGAACGAAGAAATACTCAGGTAAATTCAGAATAAATATCCGAGAAAGGAAAAAAAAAACTAAAACGACGGAATTTACACGTACTATGAAATATTGGGATAATGAACAGTAAGCAAGCTTCAAAGAACAAAAATGGACACCTATAAGCATAAGAGATGGGATCTGGCCCCAAGACCGTAAACTGAGAACAGACTTAAGTCAAAATTTCAAATCAATATAACTTTTGAAATAATTTTGATAACAAGATAAAACTTTTACCATATGTTTTAATTGGAATATTATACAATCCTGCAAACTTTTGATGAAGTATGTATCATCAATAAAAAGCCATTCTAATTTGACTTAAGTCTGTTCTCAGTTTATGGTCTCCAGGCCAGGTGTCATGGGTAAGCATGCATCCTCTGTAGGCTATTATCATGAAAAATATGTGGCCAATTGAATGTGAAAGTAATGGCTTAACAATTTTTTTCAAAAAAAAAAGTTAGTCGACTTCATTTTAACGATAGCAAGTTCATTGGTGTTTGCAATATTGTGACTTTAAACGAGACTGTTAATATTTTTGTATCATCTATCATCTATTAAAAATAGCAAGAAGAAGAGAGAAAAACAGTCTAAGAACGACGTTCATCAATTTTCTAAATTTCATGTATCTTTCCTTGTAAGAAATGTTCGAGTCCGTTCAATCTTTCGATAAGATTTTTCTTTACCCAATTTAGGTTTTTCTTATCTGAAGAATACGAATCTCTATTGGTTTACACCTACACATGTTAAGATAAAATAGGTGTATTGCATCAGCTTTCTTCACAAAAATATTCAAAGATAACGAACAGTGATCGATCTTTAAAAAATCCTCAAATTATACTAGTATATGAAGGGGCCATAAAAAACGAACACTGGAAATTCCAGAGGTGGGATCAGGTGCTCGGACGAAGAAAACATCCCCTATTAACCGGTCACACATGTCGTAGGTCCTATGTATTGATTAGGTAGACATCCCCTGTTAACCGGTCACACATGTCGTAGGTCCTATGTATTGATTAGGTAGACATCCCCTGTTAACCGGTCACACATGTCGTAGGTCCTATGTATTGATTAGGTAGACATCCCCTGTTAACCGGCCACACGTGTCGTAGTCCTATGTATTGATTAGGTAGACATCCCCTGTTAACCGGTCACACATGTCGTAGGTCCTATGTATTGATTAGGTAGACATCCCCTGTTAACCAGTCACACATGTCGTAGGTCCTATGTATTGATTAGGTAGACATCCCCTGTTAACCGGTCACACATGTCGTAGGTCCTATGTATTGATTAGGTAGACATCCCCTGTTAACCGGCCACACGTGTCGTAGTCCTATGTATTGATTAGGTAGACATCCCCTGTTAACTGGCCACACATGTCGTAGTCCTATGTATTGATTAGGTAGACATTCCCTGTTAACCGGTCACACATGTCATAGGTCCTATGTATTGATTAGGTAGACATCCCCTGTTAACCGGTCACACATGTCGTAGGTCCTATGTATTGATTAGGTAGACATCCCCTGTTAACCGGTCACACATGTCGTAGTCCTATGTATTGATTAGGTAGACATCCCCTGTTAACCGGTCACACATGTCGTAGGTCCTATGTATTGATTAGGTAGACATCCCCTGTTAACCGGTCACACATGTCGTAGGTCCTATGTATTGATTAGGTAGACATCCCCTGTTAACCGGTCACACATGTCGTAGGTCCTATGTATTGATTAGGTAGACATTCCCTGTTAACCGGTCACACATGTCGTAGGTCCTATGTATTGATTGGGTAGACGGAACTATTCCTTGTCAATTCAGTATAAAAGCAAAGGCCTTATAATTCTAAGAAACAAGTTAGCCAAAAAATCCAGCCAATTGATAGGTTATATTTGTTATTAAGGTCATTATAAGGACAATTACATTTACAAAATGAGGCTTATGAAATTCCTTTAACATCAACTTATCAGAAAGTGACTGTAAGTAGCTTGATTCGCTTTATAATGATATCATAGTGAACCCAGAGCAAGCTTTTGAGTAGCAAATAAGGTCAGAGGCATGAAGACCATAAGCAGGTGATGATAACAATCTGTCCACTCAACACACACAATAGGAAGAAGGGGGTTTCATTGGACGCTTTTCTGTGCATTTTTTGACGTCCTGTTATTCAAACATAAAAGGATGAAAAGCTTATTTACTGTCCAGCTTAATACGCATTCATAGTATCTTAAATATCTTAAAACATAACAAATACCTTTATCGTTTATAATTATATTATTAATTATAAATTATATTAAATTTCATAATGCTTTCGTTTTGATTGAGGGTATAATCTAGAAAATTAAAAACGTAGAACATAGAGACTAGTACTATTTACAATGATTTCAGGTAATATTTAGAAAATAACTATTGATTAAGGCAAGGGCGAAAGAAAAAAAAGACGAAATCCTCATATGAAATTTAAAAAAATAAATGTTACAACACGGAGGGAAAACCAGAATCAGCCTCAAATACATTCATTTTTAACACAGAAATTAATAGGAGACTGATTCATTATACACTGACGTATTATAAAATTTTTACGAGATGGAATCTCAATGGACCGATGTGATTTCAAACTAAACTGGTTTTTATATTCGATGCCTGACAATATAAACTCTATAGACAGGGCTTTAATAGATTTCTAAAGCTTTACAGTGAAAATTTAAAAATAATCTAATAACTTTAAAATCAATAATAATTTTATGAATGTTATGTAACCCTAGAAGGATTTATAGGCAGTATAGAGCATTAACATGACCAAGGTTCGTTCATTTACAGTATATTAAAATTTATAGTTAAATTTTTTATAACAATCTCATGAGAATTTCGTTTGTATTTTCAGTTTACAAGCTCAGATTCAGAAGTATAAAATCCAGGCTGCAGACCAATCAAAAGAACTGGAGAGGTTAGTCAAATTAAAGCTAACATAATTATCTGATGAAAAAATCCTCCATTTTTCAAAATCTTGTTTTATTTTTGAACTTATTTGAAGCAAGATTTGTGCAAAATCTTATGCATGAAAAGAAGAAAACACTTGCTGTGGCCTTCAACTCAACATTTAGATATATTATTGACAACGTATTGTCAATTAACAATGGTAATTCTATTCCTATGCCAATACGATTTATCCAGGTGAGCTTTAGATAAAATATACCACAGAGTCTGACACATATGTTTCATACTTGGATATTTTACTTGAAAAAGACGTTAATGGCAATCTAACAACCAAGTTTTATGATAAACGTGATGACTTTAACTTTTCTATCGTCAACTTCCCTTACTTATGCAGCAATATACCTTGATCACCTGCATACGGCGTTTATATATCTCAGTTGATTCAAAACGCAAGAGCATGCTTTACGTATGAAGGAATTTCTAAAAAGAGGCAAATTATTGATAAACAAGTTGATGAAACAAGAATATCAGAAGTCTCGTTTAAAGTCATCATTTCTAAGTTCTATGATCGATGCAATGACCTCGTCAGCAAATACAATTTATCATTGAGTCAAATGCTGATTAATTGACGTTTTTCATATTAAGTGTTAGTCCATTATTTACATAATGAATTGACGACGGGTTTTTCCGTTATTCCCCGATCAAGACAAGGAGCACCCGGTGGGTGTGACCGGTCAGTAGGGGATACTCACTCCTGCATGGCACCTGCATGGCACCTGATCCCACCTCTGATGTTTAGAGGTCTGTGTTTGCTCTGCTCCTATTTTTTTTTTTTGGACTTTGATGTTGAATACTGTTCGTTATTTCATTGTCCTTCATGAAAAATAATAAACAGTGATCAAATTTTAAAAAATCCAAAAACAATACACATTTGTTAAGATGGCATAAAAGGTGGGATTGGATGCCTAGGACGAGTAAGCATCCCATATTGACCGAGCACACCCGCTATATGAGCAATATGTATTGATCCAGAACTTTCCATAGTCAAGTACAGTACAAAAGCAAAGGCTCAAAAATTGGTTTGAAACAAATTAGACAAAAAATGTGACCAAACTTTGGTTATACTGCTACTATATTATAAAGACCATAGAATTTACGAAATGCCGACTTTTAAAGAAGTGTAAAATCTACGTGAAGGTAAAATCTATGTAAGTCAATAGCCTGCATAGGCTAAAAAATGATTTCACTCGGAGCATGCTCTTGAGTATCAAATAAGTTGGGAGATATAAACATTATATGCAGGTGATAGCGGGCTGTTATTACACTAATGGGGAAAGTTGATGATGGAATTGTTCAATTCATCTCTTGTTTTTCAGACAGATAGTTGTTGGTTGGTCCATATCGCCTATAGTCGATAAAACGTCCAAATAAAAGACATATGGCATACTCTGTGGGGTCTTTTAGCTCAATTTCAAGTCCATATATCTTGAAATACAAGATACCATAGAGCATGACACATCTATTTCATATTTGGATATCCTATCGAAAAAGACGTCAATGATAATCATCTAGCAGCCAAGCTTTTTATTAAACGTGATGACTTTAACTTTTCAATCTATCAAGAATATACCTTCATCACCTGCATACGGGCTTAAAATCTCTCAGTTGATTCGATACGCAAGAGCATGCTCTACATATGAACAATTTCTAAAACAAAGTAGGTTATTGACAGGCAAGTAGATGAAACAAGAATATCAGCAGTCTCGTTTAAGGTCATCATTTCGTACGTTCTATGGTTTATACAATGATCTTGTCAACAATTGCATGAAGAATTTATTATTGAGTCAAATGCTGGCGTTTTTGTACTAATTGTTATATTATTATTTACACATTGAATTCTCTTCGGATTTTCCGATATTTCCCGATCATGATAAGTAGCACAGGGTGGGTGTGACCAGTCCACAGTATTTGCTCATTTCTCCATGGTACCTTTAATGTTTTGGGGGTCCGTGTTTGCTCTGCCCAAAATTAATATTGTTTGATGACCTGTTGAGCATGAATACTGTTCATTATCTCAATAAATTTTATCGAGTTGACATCTTGTATAAATGGTATATCTATTGTTATTTGATATAAGATAATGGTAATATAGCCCTCTTCCATGCAGTTAATGGATATTTAGTAAATGTTTAATACATTCACGTGTTTGGAAACTATTTAGAAAATATGTGGAAAATCATGTGATAAAGAGACAATTAATGCTTTTCCAATGCTTTGACTACAGGAAATAGTATCAGAATGTACATTTATCAATAATTTCCGATTCTACTGACTGTTGTATGGTGGCTATTACCAAATTACCGACTTTAGAAGAATGTATTGTATATCTTATAGTACATATCTTGAGATTTATTATTTTTCATTTGTACATATATGATAACAACATAAAGTAAAAAAAAAGACAAAAATATGTCTGGAAAATCCGTAAACTTTCAATGAACCTGTACAAAACAAAACAAGAAAAATAAAGTTTGAGATTGGACATAAAAGCTTTGATTTTTGTTTTTCATCTTAGATTACGTGGGATCCATTCTATCACCAACAAGGCTAAAGGGAGACATGTAGGAATGATTGAAGAGAGGTAAGGAATACCAATAAATATAAAGGTGGACAGGTAGACGTGAAATAGAGAGGTTTGTATCACTATAATTAAGCTAAATGTAGTGATAGACGAGAGGTTTGTATCACTAACAAGCTTAAGGTAGTTATTTTAGAGACGTTGGCTTAAAAGTAAACGGTGACGAAAGTTAACTTTCTTATGTACATTAAATAAAAAAAAAGGCCAGGAAACATTGGAGCAACTCAAAAATGTAAAGCGTCTCCATATGAGTGAAAATTTTTTCAGAGGGACATTAAACAAATAAACAATCAATCAATCAAAAATGAAGAATCTTAATTTATTTAAGACAACTAATTGATTTAGGAATGCTTATAAAGTGACAAAAATCCTCTGAGAAAAAGGAAGCGGTTTAGTAGCTACAGACACACACAAATACAAAAAACACAAAAGAATGTGTCAATTTTCATAAAAAAATCTTTGTTTCGAGAATGTTTCTCTTTTGTGTAAACAGGTCTTGGGAGTGATCATGAAAATAATTTTTTAGATTCTAACACGTACAGCCAGTGATATTTTTCTCTTTTATTTTTCCTTTGAAATCATAGTTGTTCAAATAATGTATGAAACACTATAGATTTAAATATCTGAAAACTACAAAGTTAGCGCGAAGAACTTAGTTTTAGCAATAACAAATATGCAATATTCTTACTCATGAACTTTTTGAGTAGAAACAAAGATAACAGGTATCATTTATTGAAACTTAATTGAACTATATCTATTTAAAAATATTATTCATAAGAAATTATTTCTGAAAATTTGTTCAACTCCAATTATTGTATATATGCCTTGGATCTTTTTACGGGAGAAAATAAGAAGGGAACTAAAGTCCAAGTTTGTATTAATAATATCATCTCTACTTCAAAGACATTTTCTCAGATTAACTACAGTAACTACTTTTAATGGTTTATATCCAATCACTGATCTGTATGAGAGCTTTTTATTTTAAAATGACATGAATTTTTAAATGTATTGGTCACCAAAAATGTGACCTTTTTATAATACTGCATTAATAGTGGTTTTGTCGAGTAATATGCCTCATGATAAGAAAGACGCTGTATAAATATGTGTACTGAAACATTAATAGAAATAACTATACTCTTTTATGTAAAATTATTTTGATCCTTACGCAACAGAAAATTTAAAAAATAATGTTCGTTATGACAAGGCTTTAATTATTACTCGTACTTCTCAAGTACCTGGCTTCAAAACCATAAACTGAGAATACACGTAAGTCAAAATTTTAAATCAATATTACTTTTCTTTTAAAAATGATAATGAACAGAATTTGCATTTATTATTTGTTGGAATTTGAATATTATACATAACTGCCAAATTTTAAAAAAAAAAATTATAATAAAAAAAGATATTCAAGAACAAAATTACTTAATTACTTAATTAAGGACATATATTACAGCCAAAAATTTTATGCGTGGATTGATAAATATTTTTTTTACCGATTTTGCATGAAAATGACATTTTAAAAAATACATTCCTAAAATAGAAAGACTTTGTTTCGTCTTCTATGTAATTCTATACACATTTTAACACCAATTTTAAACATTGTGAAAATCTTACAAAAAATTTTATTTTATCTGGCAAACATTATTAAGACTGCGTGCCTAAATATAAATCTGTGAGAAAAAATGCTTCTTTCTGAAAAAAAGTTTTTGTTATTTATCTTAAGTCTGTTTTGAGTTCAGTTCATGAGAGTCCACATGTATTTTGCACTGACGATGCAAAATCTTAAATTTATATTAATTATGATAGCCATTTCTTATACTAGTATATGACTCAATGTTTAAAAATAAATATTCATAAAATCGCTTGTTTTTAGAGAGTTTTAATTAAATTTTTAAACATTTTACAATTTATTAGGTACCAAGAGGAGAAGAAAGACTTCGAAACAAGAATGAAAGAGCTTGAAAATCAACTGAAAAAGAAGTACGAAAGGTATAACAAGAATTGAAAAAAGTAACCATTCTAAACAAAATATGCATTAGAATTAAATGAAAAAGGGTTAATATACGGCGTAATGATCGATTTCGGAATTCTTAAAAACAATACAAAATGAAAAGTGCTAAAACAGACCTATGGTAGATCGCACTTTATCTTAACATGAAAAATCTTAATACTGTTTAACTTCATAACCTTAAAACCAATCGGTCCATGGATGCTTAATAGTAAAAAAAAAAATGAAATTCTTGAGATCATTCTCCAAGGAGGCGTAAGCGCCTATCAATTGGTCACTCCCACAGTGAGCCTTATAAGACGGAGTTATCTGCTTAAATTTATTTAAAAACAATGGTCTTATTATTGGTAAAAAGTCAAAATACTATCCATTCATAAGTTTATTTTCAAACAAGCTATTAAGGTCATAAACTATAAAAAAGAATTTTCGAAATATGGACTTTAAACAAGGTTGTTGAGATCCCTGAAGCATCAACCTCTTTGTCGGTAGCATGTTTCAGATTTTTAAAAAAAAATCACTGTACTCAGACTACGGTATTTTGTATCGAGTAAATTGAGAGGTATAAGCAGCCTAAGTAATATTGAATATAGCAACTTAAATATAAGGGAAATTGACGATGAAAAAGTTGACGTCGTTTCGTTTGTCATACAATCTAGTTGTTAGTTGGTAATTATTGAATGTCGTCATAACATCTAATAACGAGTTCGCCGAAATTTACATGTATCATAAAGCATATAAATGAAAGCAACTAAATATTTATCTGAATGTCAAATTGAAAGCTGCGACATTTTTACAGTGATTTTGTGAAAGACTAATCACAAGATGTGAAAAATTCCGACTTGTGTTTTTATTGAAGAATCAGTTGTCTTAAATGTTTTTTGTTTAGTTCATGTATATAGTGAAAAATATTACAGATTAGTATTTTATAGTTGATGATTATAGTTAATGTTTAACTGCTTAAAGTGCAATACAAGAAAAAGAGGACACAGAAAACACTCTCCGGAAAGACCTTAATAAACTAAAGAAAGAAATCCAAAAGGTGGGAAGTTTAAGTTCCGGTGTAAAGACCTCCAAAAGGCCACGATACAGGACAGAAACTGACCAGTTTGATGTAGGAGAACTCGTGTCCACTCTGGACATTGTGGCAAAGGACTTACAAAGTCACCAAGACAAGAACAAGTAAGAAACTTATAGTAGAGTGAGGTAGAACTGTATACATTAAAGCAATATGAGCTGCAAATTTGATGTCGGAATTTTTTGTTGCAAAATTGTAAATAACAATTTCAATGACAGAAAAAAGAATAATGTTAATAAACTCCCGTTGTTCATAATTGCAATAGAAGAACTATTTAAAAGCTTCCATTGAATCAAAGAATGGGTGGACTTAACTGGCCAGAAAAAATGCCTTAATTTAAGTTTCATAAAATGCCTATTTTTTTCCATCATATAAACCTCCAATATCTTAACCGTGTGTTCATGGTACGGATGTGAATTTAAAACGCTCTTTTCGAGGTTAACTTAAATAAATATCGAAGGCATGGTGCCTAAAGATTTCTTGAATATCAATAGATAATCAGGGTCACGCATTTTTCATCTTCTGAATACATAGTCAGCACAAAGAAAACTGTAGTTGTATATTGAACAAAATAATGTTATATTAAAAGGAGAAGAGACAAACAAAATAATGTAATTTAACAAAAAATTTTTTAAAAACAAACTTTCGATATTGACCTGTTTAATATTACAATTCAAAGTGAAAACAAAATTCTTGGAACGTTTTAAGAATTTATATTAAGTATTGTTTTAAATGCATTGAATTAATTTCAATAGCCCCGCCTCCTATAAATATTGATTGTGTGACATAAAAACCACACCGGGTACATATCGAATTCCGGAAGACGACACTCATGTATCGTTGCTTCAATTTTGATTCATAGCAACAGGGCATTGTTTTTGTACAAATGTTCCACCTAATATAACCAAGTATATGTAGCTCTTTCCATTGTTCGTAATATATTTTGGATTCACTTCATTTACAGATTGTTCGAGGAGTCGCAAAAAGATCCAAAATAAGGCGTTAAGTCCACCCATTCTTTACATTATTGTCATCCTGTACAATAATGATTTCTCCTATTAAACTGTATATTGGATTGTAAATAGAAGTTTTCCTTTTGCTTTATTTCGTTGATCATAAATGTACAAATTAATCATAATAACACATTTTAACAGCAACATAAAATTTTCAAAATTACTTCTGGTCTAGAAAAGACAGGACACTTCACTAGAGAAATGATGCTACAAGAATTAATTTTTCTTGAATACATAAGAACAATTATTTAGATAACCCAAATATTAATGCATTGAATGAATTTCAAATAAACTTTGTAATTGTATTTAAATCATCATATCATGTGTCAAATTATCACGTTATATTTTTCTTGAATTGCATTTTCAAAACAATTGAATTTCTCTTGAATTGCACAATACAATTGCAAAAAATGCAGCTCCAACACTATAAATAATTTTTAGAGGAATAGAAGAAGATTCCACCGTCTGGAAGAGTAATTATTTAGAATTGGAGAAGGAGATAAATAGATTTTGTCACGATATATCGCCGTCTCTTCGGAACAATTCAAAGAATATAAGCACTCTCCGACCTGGCTCTAATTCGGTGGCGGCCCTTCAGTCCCTCTTAGAGGAAACCAGAACAAATGTTGTTAGCCGACTGCAGAAAATGGAGGAAAAAGACAGGTGAGAACGCCAGGTACTCAGGGTCCACTACCTGTAACTATAGGTGTGTGTGGTGATGGTGAATTCAAATAAAAATTACTTTTTAATATTTGTATTTAATTCTTTTATTTTCTAGCAAAACTTTATTCTTATACTTAGCCTGTTTTTCCTATCTGGTAACTTTGAAGAAAAATAAATATTATAGATTTCTTTTTATATGAAAATACTTTTCAAATCATGACATACTTCATAAATCTATGAAAACCATAAAGTATTCGCACTTACTGTTCTTTCAAAAAAATCTACTAAGCATATTCTTTTCATTAATGATTATTTTTCTTCATCAATTTAATAATTTTATTCATTTATTTTTATATGATCTGCTTTTTGACAATTTAAAGCACATAACATAGACTAACCTTTTCTTTATGGTAAAGGGATCTACCTTTAGTTGAATCTCCTCCATTTCTGTCTGTTCTCAGGATTTTACAGGAACAGGACCAACAAATCAGCAGACTCCGCGAGTCCAGCTCTCTGTTGAGTCAGTTGGTCAGCGAGATTGAAGCTTCCTTTAAACAACTTCCATCAAATGCACACCGTAGTGAAAGCACATTGTCTGTTCGAAGCAGCTCCAATCTTAGATCTATAGAAATGTTAAAGCACATACGACTGTACATTAATGATTCTCTTAGGTAAACTAGAATTTGATGGGTTTTTTCTCACGTTTTTGCTTATTCTTTTTTCCATACAAATTTCATGAATTTTTTCTCCGTTATTTATTTTAGATAATCTTTTTTTTTTGTCTTTTAAATGTTTTGTTATGTTTTTTATTCTTATTTTGCTGATAGATATTTAGTAGCAAAACTCGATCTTTCACAAATTTTAGTGCAACGGTGGGAAAAGACAAAAACCTCCGGGAAGTAGAGAACGATTTAGCGGCTCTGGAGAGTCGCATCATGAATCTGGACACAGGGGTTACGCCCACTTATACTGAAGACAATATACACGGAGACACGCCCACTCCTACCCGACAGCTGTCAATCGTCAGTCAAAGTCACGAGGGCGTGACTGAGTCGTGTAGCAAGCTGCTTAAAAAACTGGATGTCGTACAAATAGGATTTGTACAGATTCAGACACAGAATAAACAAATGGTCAAGTTAGTTTGATAATTTTTATCAATTATCATTTTGTTTGATTGTTTGAAAAGGGATGTAGAAAACTAGATATATTTAGAATACACTGATATACATTTAGAATATATGTTGAAATGAATGCATTTTGAGCAGTTTGTTCATAATTAAATACTTTTTTTAAAAAACTTTTAGCCTTCAATTAAAAAAAAGGTAAAATTTAAATAGAAAACGTTTATGAAATAATTACATTTCTATAAATATAGAAATTATTGTATAGAAATTTCTATTATAGTGATATATATAAATCTTTTTTTTATTTTAGTGAAATAAACTCCCTGAAGAAAGCATCAGATTCGTTAGCTAAGACCAAACAAGACCTAGAGGGGATTTGTAAAGTTTTGGACGTGTCGCTGCGGGACGTGGATACCTCCAATATTTCTCACGTGGTGAGGGTCTGTAAATCAGGGGCGGAGTCAAAGGTCAAGGAAGTGGACATTAAGGAGGGGTAAGTAAGGCCCTCTTAATAGGAGGAGGAGAGGTAGATATATATTGTGAGATTATAGGGAATTAATAGAAAAGGTTATACATGCCTTTATTGAGAAAAGAGCGTGAGGAAATGGTCAGGGATGCTGTGATTGGTGTGACGTAAATATGAGTGTTTTAATTTTTATATAAACTTTTTAATACATTCAGTATTCAATATCAAAGTCCATAAAACAATTAGAAACATCAGATGAAACCGTGTGCTCCTTGTCAACGTAGAAAATTTCGTCATCAATTCAGTGTATGAATAATGGACTAACAATTAGTATGAAAAACGTCAGTCAGCATTTGACTCAATGATGAATTATATATGCTGACAAAATGATTTATATAAAAATATGCACATATATAAAAAAAAATTGATCCATGATAGAAGTAATTTTATATGATATTGATTACTACAAAACATCAGATTTCAGCATTTGGTCAGTTCTAACAAGGTCACTGAATGATAATTCACGATGACGGTAAAATATGGATCCTATTATTAATCAGCCCGTATCAATGTCCTCTGAATGATTGCATGGTTCAAGACAAATTAATCACATTTCTGTCAATACCTCAATCTCTGGTCACAATCATGGTAGTATATCTAATAAAGTGACCTCTTACTGTTTACGTCAAATAGTCTGATGCTGCAAGCGTGTCGCTGTTATCATCAGCAATATTGTATATTTATAATCAGGTCGACATTAGATAGGTATAATCTAGCTGAGTTATTTCTCTTGTTATGCATTATTTCTGTTTTTTAGGATAATTCAGAGGACAAGATCAGACTTGGACAGACTGAGGGAAGATATACACAACTTATGGGAATACGTCAGCGACGACAACTCTGGCACGCCAGGGGGAGACAAATCTGACAGAACTGCCTCTCGATCCAGTAACAAAAAACAATCTACCTCGGTCAAGGCCACGCCCTCACGCCCCTCCACCAAGGAGGAAATGGACCAGATTCTAAGACAATTCAATAAACTGAAGGGAGAAAACTCTACCTTATATGCGTACGTCTGAATACGATAACTATAATAATCCCATACAGTCAATTCAAGATTTATTTACCTTGAATAAAACTGCCCTTATTCACATCTTTATATTTTTTTATTAACTTAATCTTTACCTTTTATATATTGTTATGAAGATTTCGTAATTATTGATTCAAGGACATTACAAGAAAAAGATGGCACCGTGATTGATGCAGAGAGCAAACTGAAAGTAGAAAGAACGCACCTTGCTCAGCAGGTCAAGGACAGAGACGAGAAGCTGGCACAAACTCTTATAGAGTGTGAAAGGTCCGAGTCCCAACTAGGACGATTCACAAAGATAAAAGATTGTTTAAAATTGGAAAATTATATTTTTGATACGTTTAACATGAAAAAATCTTACAATAAAGTAATTTTTTGAAATATATAAGAGATGCTATTAAATTATCAAAATTGACTACAGAGTGAAATTGCTAATTTATATTGTCCTAAATTGTTTTTAAGTTTAAAAACGGAACTTAATAAGGCCGTTTCTGAGAAAGAGAAAGCAGAAGAAAATGCAGAAAAAGAAAAATCAAGTTTACACAAACTCAAAGACCAGCTAGTAGAATTGGAGGAAGAATTCACAAAGGTCAAGGACACATATGAAGCGCGAGTGGATGACCTTCAGAAGAAACTCCGAGAGTCTGCGGAGGAGTCTGATAAACTCTCCAAAGAAAACCAGAATCTGCTCACAAGGTACTTACCTAATGACCATTGTCTCCTTATGCCATAAAAATCATAAGTAAGGATACATTCATATTGCGATCCAGAAGATGTCATTAATTGTTCATTAGGTCAGCAGATTCTAGCTGCATATAGAACACTCATTAGCTTAATGAAGTCCCGAGGTTAACCTCTGTCTTGGTAGATATTGTGATTGTTTGTCTAGGATGTGTTTGGTTTGCCTTCTGTCCAGAGCTATGGTTAGGTGAGAATGCACTTTTCCTCCAATTACTGCTAATGATGACAAATAAATGTTCTTATGTTGAACAGACTGAGCTCTGTGGCCAGTGCACAGCTAACAGACGGTAACCCCTCCATAGCTGACCTCAGTGATATCAACAGGCCCACGAAGATCGCCGAGAAATTCTCCGAACTTTACGACAATGAATGGACGGAAGCATTCGAGGCGCTGACGGGTCAATATCATATGAGTGAGAAGGAAGCAGTAGACTCCCTGCTGAGGATCCTTAAGGTTTCTGTAAAAAAATTATTTTTAATTTGTAAACCGTAATATTATTTTAATAGAAATAGGCGTTTCTATAAAACACACCAACTTCAATATTTAGATATAATCTACATTTCCCTTTAATGAAATCGGAGATAACTAGCAATAATTAAGCTCAAAAATTTATTTTAAAATATTAAATCTAGAAGATCGAAAACGGATTTCCAAAACATGATAGGTGAGATCAGATGCCATAGACGAGAAAGCATACCCTGTCCCAAACTGACACTTTATTATTTCAGCAATTAACTTTATAACTAAAGTAAACAAACAGTAACTGTTACATGCTTTATATAAGTGAGTACATTTTTAGGATTGTTACAACTTTGGTAAAGTGGCCGCCAGTGGCCAGTTATCCGAGCTCCACAAAGTTCTCCTGATGCTGCACACTTCCGGCAGGACACGAGAAACGGTTTGTGGCATTTTATCTCAAAGCTTAAAATTTCCCATTTATTATGTGACTCCTGTTGTCAATATGGCTACCCAAGAGAGTCATATGAACGCTGGAAAGGTTAATTCTGTAACCTAAAGGTACTGCATTCATAATCTAATGGAATAATAAGGACAATTCATTAAGTATCTCTCGAAATTCTTTTCAATTTGTTTCTTGTGTGATCCAATAATAAAAAGATAAATATTCCCATTTCATTTTTGTTATTTTGTTATAACCTACGGACATTTCAGTCAATAGACGAGTTATTTTATATTCAATTATGGTATCAGCCAATTAGAGCGCAAACAAATAATGAAGGCATTAGCAAAAATTGTGATAGGGAATACAATAATCTCTTATTAAGATTAAATTTAACTTTTATTTTTAGCTTGTATTGTCTAGTATTAAAAAGTTATCGAAAGAGGAAATAAAAGCGGTCAAAGATTTAAGAAAGACTTGTGCTGTCCACGCAACAAGGGCAGTGTTAAAGGTGTGTACATCAATAAAATCAACGTTTACTTAAATAATTCAAAAAATGTATCTTTATGAGTCTTTTCAAAAATCCACCTTTTTGGAAAAAAAACTCTGTTTTGTACTTCATGTTTGTAAATATAATGATGTCCACTATCACATAAGTACAATACAATCTTAGGCGGGAAATTATAATAATACTTCTTTACAGGAGTAGTCACGCATCATATCTAATTTGCTTCTATTTCAGTTGTTCAATGACACTCCCGATGGGCGGACCGTGCTCAGTGACTCCCAGCAGTTGTCCTGTTCAAGTTTCATCTCCAGGGCCGTGGAGCTGTGCTGGTTCATGAATGTCCAGGACCCGCCTCTAGCAATCACGTGGTCTGTCAAGCCCGGCGAGAGCTGCGACACCTCGCGGTATAAACAGTTCACACATTCCGGTCAGTTCGTGGAGTTCCTCGTTTGGCCTCCCCTGTACTTATTTAAGGACGGGCACCTGCTCAGTAAGGGTGTGGTTCAGTGTATATGACTAATGTTCTAAACTTTTCATTCACAATAACAATTTGCCAAAAGTGGATGTATTTCTATATACTTTGTTCTGTTAATTGTTCTGTGAAATAATAAATATAGATTTTTATATTTCAATTGCTTGCTTGTCACTTGAAACCCATTTATATGAAAACGATGTAAAGCAAATGGCCAAAAATAAAGATCACAATGAAATATTGCAGACATCAAATATTATAGAAAATCTTTATTTCAGTTTTGGAACCAGGGGGTTGTAGGAGCATGAACTGATTATAGAGAAATTTTTAAAAAATGACAAAATTAATTAAAACTTCTAGAAACTAAATGTAGATGTAGCATATAAGAGAGGCGGGTTCATAGTGATTAACAAATATGGGCTATACAAAAGTACGTACATGAAATATGTAGAAGACATGGAAAAAAAATTTAAAAGTGGGATTTTCCTCATACAAAAATATATTTCTTGTATTTGAAACGTAATAAAACAGAATCAAAAGAAAATATCACTAAGAGATGGTATCACATTAGTTTTGACTGTTTTATCAGGTGAGGTCAATGTCATTACATGTACCTTTTCCCTGGGCATTAAAAATATTTTTAAAAAAACATTGCATCCAATTATGCGATATCTTTCTCTACTTCATACGTTTAAATGTTTTTCTTTTTGCACAAAAAGACATGACCGTATAAGGTATACGTGATATATAGAAGATCTATAGATGATTACCTAATTGACATAAATAATTTAACAAAACTGGATTTTGGCTTATCCGAATAATCTCTATTTTTCATAAATTTGTAGGATATACTATCTATTTTTATATGCGCCCAATCTTAGATTTTTTCTTATTTTCTCATATGGCCAAACAGTTATACAAAATGCTACATGAACAAAAAGTTTTGATTGCTTATTTAGAGTGAAAAAACACTTTCTACGAATTTTTGGCTCATATCTATAGTTAGAGTGGAAGTTTCTTAAAGCTAACATAATTGTAGTTGTTTGGAAAATTATATTTATTTGATATATTTTAAAATTTTATTCTCTTATTAATAGAGTTTTATGAAGAGACTTACTTTTACATTTGACTGCTGACTTTTACATTTTAGTAATTGGAGTTGGTCTCTGTTTAAATTGTAAAATTAAGTCGTCGTTTGTAAAAGTAAGTCTATTTATAAAACTCCATTTATTTAACTAATATTTGAAAAATTCTTCAAGTCTTTGATCGTGTAAAAATTATTACTACATTCAATTTTCTATAATAATTTTGGGAATCGGAATATATTTTCATACGCCACCATTCCGCTAAAATATAGTTCCTACTAGATTTCAAATTCAGTTTACAATACGATCTATTTAAAGTTGTACAATTGTGATGAGAAGAGAAAATATGATCTATAAATTTCTGACATCTAAATATATGAGTTATAAGCAAATCGTACATTGAATTTATCATCTAATCAGAAACCAGAAAATAATCCAACCTTAAGATCAAAATCCATAAACAATACAAATCAGGAACAGAGTAAACTCGGACCTCCAAAACATCAGAGGTGGGATCAGGTATCACAGAGGGGTAAGCACCTTGTCATAATCAGGAATATCGGAAAATCCGGGGACAATTCAGTGTGTAAAAAATGGCTAAACAATAAGTATGGAAAACATCGGTCAGCATTCACTTAATGTATTTGCTGCAAGGTCATTGTATCGACCATAGAACTTACAAAATAATGAATTTAAACGAGACTGTTGATATCCATGTTTGAATAACTTGTTTGTCAATAAGTTACCTCGTTTTAGAAATTGTTCACACGAAGAGCATGCTCTTGCTTATCGAATCAGCTGAGAAATATAAACCTGGGCCCGTGTGCAAGTAATAAGGTTATATTGTTGCAGAAGTTAACAATTAAAAAGTTAAAGTCGTCACGTTAATCAGAAAACATTGTTGCTTGATTACCATTGACGTTTTTTTCTAGTAAGATATCCAAATGTGTCCCATTCTGTTGTATCTTTAATTATTTTATTTCAAGCTCATCGGGACATATCGTATCAATATTTAAGGTAGGTCCGTACTTTCAAAATTTTCTGTCAAACTGATAATTTTTCAATTTGAATACCTTGAATAAGTCTTAAACTTACTAAAACACCCATGAAAGACATATCTTTGCAGGTTAATTTTCATACAACATGTCTCAGAGCACATACCTCTAAAAACTCAACAGCCAAAATTGAACATTAAGAAGTGTGATATAATATTTTATTTAGTTATACACCAAATCACATCAAATATATGTTAAAACTTACGTAAATCAAAAATATTCATTTTCTAAGAGAATTTTTGAAATCTTTCTTGCAAATCATTAACAAATTGATGTTGAATCTGTCCATGTCTTTCAGAAAAAAAATCTCAAAATATCTTTATTTTTTATAATTCACCAAATCTAAACTGTTTAGGTGTCATTTTTTCTTTAAAACTATTAAGAATTATATCTAAAGTTAACAAAAACACATACTTTATTATGGTTGACCAGAGAATTTTAACAAAACAGTCTTTTGAAGACGTATACCCCCATTTTTGGACTATCAATTTTTCCAATTATTCAATGCAAATTTTTTTTTAAAAGTTAAAATTAAATGGATGATATAGGCTTAAAATCAATAATAATAGATCTCAAGTTAGTTTGCTAAAACGAAAATTAAAAAGCTTTACGTCCATAACAGCAATTAAGAATTTTGTGTCTTGTGTATGTACCGAATAACATAGATCCTATGGACAGAGTGCAAAGTGTAAATTTCCATAGATAATGTATATTAAATGCTTAGTATGCATAATAATACGATAATAAACAAAATTATACTTGCTGAATTATTTTCAATCACCCTAATAGATTTTATTTCAATAGACAAGTGACATTCAAATTTTATATTTATGTGTAAAATTAAAACCGGATCCGTAAAAGACAACTATGGGCCTTCCTTAAATGGAAATACACATAAAGATTGTAAATTGACGATACGTTGTCGAGATATCTACGTAGATGTCAAGTTAAAGGCCACAAGACGTGTTTTCTTCTTTTCACTTAAAGTTTTTAAACAAATTCTGCTTCACATAATTACAAAATTAGGTCTGTTAATAATGGGACAGAATTCGTACCCATAGGCATTTCAATAGATTGTTGGAAGACCTTGTCTCGGAAAACCACATAGCTACTGTATAGGTATGCGGGAATATAAGCATCTCTTTTATATCAACTTTAGAGTACTTTTGTGTATATTCAGAATATTTAAACAAAATTATTTTGCAAATGACCAATAAAAAAAGCAGGTGTCAATAATGTAAAAAAGCCTTTTCATGTCTTGATTATAAAGTTGAAAATCGTAAGTTTTTATCTTGTTGATTTCGGTAGAATTTCGTGATTTCAAATTTTCCGAAGACTCTTTGGAAGTGTTAAGTATCCACATCTGATTTACACCACTTATCAGATATATTGTTACAAAGTACTCCTGTTTAATACCAAAATAACCAGAAGTCTCTGTCGAGACTGTAGCTCTACTGGTTTGTACTTATAACAAAGGATGAGAAAAGAAGCCACTGCCATTAGATCAAAACTGTAGAAGGAGTAGCATTTTAAAGGAATTTCACAGAAAATTCTATTTTTAGTAACGATGGCAACACCATTCATCGAAATCGAAATCCGATGCACTATCTTATGTATCTTAGTGTAGACTACTTGTGTGCCAAGTAATATTGAAATCAGACCAAAACTGAAGGAGTAGTGTTTTAAATGAATTTCACAGAAAATTCTATTTTTAGTAACCATGGCAACACCATTCATCGAAATCAAAAACCGATGCACTATTCTATGTATCTTAGTATAGTCTACTCGTGTGCCAAGTAATATTGAAATAAGACCAAAACTGTAGAAGGAGTAGCGTTTTAAAGGAATTTCACAGAAAATTCTATTTTTAGTTACCATGGCAACACCATTCATCAAAATCAAAAACCGATGCACTATTTTATGTATCTTAGTGTAGTCTGCTTGTGTGCCAAGTTATATTGAAATAAGACCAAAACTGTAGGAGGAGTAGCGTTTTGAAAAATTGTTTACAGACAGACGGACGGAACGGACACCTTAAATAAGCTCTTCTGGTCTCTAAAGCTAAAAACGAAAACTAGACATGCGCTTTTGCTTTTTTGCAGTTTTCTATATCACCTCTTTTAATTAAAGGTTTTTAAATGAATAATCACTTAAATTGATTTTTAATTTTTGGTTTAAATTTCAGCATGATGTAGATAACGCAACTGTATTTCTACATGGAATACAGATCTTCCAAGAAGGATAGTCATTAGGGCTTTAGCGTCAGGATAAAAAATCGATTTACGAGATATGATATTGCAGAGATTTATTAGACATTTTCTCGCGCAGATGCACCCTTAGGTTTGACGGCATTAAATTTCATGTTCATTAGATACAGCGACAAACTTTCAGAGTGATATTCACACTTTTGAATTAACTTAAGGAAAATCCTTTTAAATTTTGCAATTCAACTATCAAAATACCTTTAGATATACGAGATGATAAAATAATATTCCTGATATACCGGTAACATCTATCTTTGTAATTATGGTATGTGTACGATTCTGAATAGTATTGATTGAAGAAACAAAATTTACTAGCGTGCAATAATTACAATTTCCCTTCTATATTCAAATTCAACCAAACAGCAATTTTGTATAAAGAATTTATTGTGTTTCATAAATATATCAAGATACACTGTATTAAAGTTTTTTTTTTTTTTTAAAAATGAGAGATTTATAAAGAGAGTCTCGTTTAAAGTCATTAATTTGTAAGTTCTGTGGTCGATACAATGAACTTGTCAGCAAATACAATCCACTGGGTCAAATGCTAACTGACGTTTTCATACTAATTGTTAGTCCATTATTTATACACTGATTATACGACGGAATTTTCCGTTATTTCCTGTTCATGACAAGGAGCACACGGCGGCTGTGACTGGTCGACAGGGAATGTTCACTCCTATATGGCACCTGATCCCACCTCTGATGATTTGGAGGTCCGTATTTGCGCTGCTCCCATTTTGTATTGTTT